AAGTTTAGCATCGCTTATTGGTGTTATAGAACTCTACAAACGAGGGGAAATAATAATAAGTCAAACTCATGATGCAATATTAATTTATTTATGCGTCGGATTTATTTACTTAATATTAACAAGCTCTCTTACTTTAGTAGTCAATTTAATCGAAACCAGAATAAATAAATATGTTGGAAATTAAAAATCTCTCAAAAAAATTTGGCAATAAGACTGCTGATAAAAAAGTACTCAATAATGTTAGTCTAAAAGTAGATCGTGGAGAAATAGCACTATTACTTGGTCCTTCAGGCGTAGGAAAATCAACATTACTACGTATATTAAATGATTTAGAAAGCTACGATCAGGGTACCTTGATGCTAAATGGTCAAAAACTTGAAGAGTATAAACTTAAAAACAAACATGCTACGGGTATGATTTTTCAACAATTCAATTTGTTTGAACATATGAGTGTTGAAAAAAATATAACGTTTGTTCTTGAAAAATCCGCCAGGAAAACCCCACAAGAAGCGCATGAAATTGCTACTCATTTACTACAAAAATTTGGTTTAGAATCTAAAGCAAAATTACCTATTAGCAAATTATCAGGCGGACAAAAGCAACGATTAGCTATTGCCCGATCTATAGCATTAAAGCCCTTGGTAATATGTTTCGATGAGCCTACTTCAGCTCTCGATCCTTATTTAAAATCTTTTGTAGCTCAAAATATTCAGGAATTAGCTGACGAAAAATATATCGTCCTCGTGGCTACTCATGATATTTCCTTAATAGAAAAATTAAAATGTACCATATACCTCATGGAACAAGGCAAAATTATAGAAAGTAGCGCTTCTGCCGAATTCCTAGCTCATCCCAATCAGTACCCTTTAATTAATAATTTTGTTAAAGGAGCTATTATGCGTTCTGATACCCAAACCTAAAAGGAAAGTAATGAATACGTCTAAAATATTTTTTCAATCTAATTGTTATCAGTCAATTCATTAACGCCGAATTAGATGTAAATAAATATTTAGATTCATTAACAAATACCATCGAACCTCTTTCTGCATTAAGCGAAACCGTTACTGAATGAACACCTTAATAAGAAGTTATAGAAAAGCTTGAAGATGGGTTAACATATTTTGCAACGTTTGCCTTTTGCGATATAACCGGAAATCTCAAAGAAATAATATTACCCCTAGACCAAGCAAAAATTGCTATAAAAGAAATTGTAATGCCCGAAAATAATAAGTGCTCTTTTTAGGCCCACCGTAAATTCATATAAGAATAATCTTTGCATTACGCACGCATATAGTGAAACTCTATTACCCTGTTTAGCTCTGTCGTTTCAGCGCAAGATGAGCAACTTTATTTAAAATTTACCATGATCGATAATACTTGTAATATCTATTTAGCAATAGCTGCACTATTAAAAAGCGGCATCATCTATCTGCTTTGATAGCGATGCCTAGAAAACATTTTTCTTGCTAAACAAATCACCTAGCCTTCCTCAAAAAAATGGAGTGGCACGAATATGCTTATTATATAACAGACTCGGAACTTAAAAAATATTTATTAGGGCAGTATTTTAGATAAAACAATCAGCAATAATTGATAGAAAATTGTCAACTTGCTTGCTTATCGTCTTTAAAGCTCAATTTTTTGCAATTCGAAGGTCCATTCATCAAGAACCATCGCAATTTGATTTTTATTGAGTTCCATTAGCGAATCGTAATCAATAACAACTCGATTAGAAGCAGTACCTGCAGT